AGCTGATTTACACTGTTGAAGATGAGTTGAGATGATAACCAGCAGATACTGTGCCCTTCCAGCACCAGGACTGGACTGGCTGGGTTACCCTGAGCCTACAGGCAAAAGACACGAGACTGTTCAAATGCAGGGCAAATCAGAAGCTACATCTGTGGTCCAGTCAACCTGATACTTTGAACTCCAATTCTGTCCCACATCTTCTAGGCTTGTTGAGCAGATCCGAAATGCATTTTCCACTCTAAGTGACGTTAGGAAACGCCTACAGCCTGGGTGTCTGAGCTCTGGGTGAAACAGGTTGTTTCAGGTCAGGGTTATTTTAGAGGATAAGGAAGATCTGAGGAAGATGGGGTTCATCACTGTCGGTTATCAGAAGGCGACTGCAGAAGAGAGACACAAGAAGAAGCTCGAAGAAGCACTTGCTGTACTTTACCTTTCGCTCCAGGCATTTTGGCTGTTCTCCAAAGTCCTTGCGTCCTTTTTTTCCTGGGGAATAGAGTGCGGACCACCAGCCAGAGCCCGAATTTATGGGCCGGACTACTGAATGCGAGCGTCACCGGGCCCCTTCGGGAAAGAGCCGCTGGAACAAGCAAAGAGCGCTGTCAGCGTGAGCCGCGGCGGTTTGCTGAGCTCAGGCGAACCCGGCTGGCGCTCGCTGAACAGCCGTTAATCCCGCCATTGTGCTCAGGAACAACAGGACACGGCGCCTCCCTGAAACCACCGCCTCTTTCAGCGGTGCTTTTCATAAACTCTTTAAAAAGACATGGAGCGCACAGCAGGAGTGGTGTGCTGTACAGCTCCAGCGCTCATGACCTGGCACGATGTTTCCAGCATCTTCCCGATCGGAGCGATCCAGCAGAAGCGACAGCACTGAGCTGCAAACCGATTCGCTCCTCCGTGTTTAAGCATCTTTCCTCCGAGCGCAACAGACGGGCGGAACATCATTTCATAGCAAAATCAGCAGGAAAGCGATTCTGTTTTTAAAGCAATACTATTTGTTAGTTTCTGTTAAATTCAATTTGTTTAGAAAGCAGAATCGGTGTCGGTGGGTCTGCTATGAACTTTCTGTGCTTCTCTGCTGGGCACCAAACGAATTGCAATATTTTAAACATCTGGGAAGACCGCTGTCAGACGTCACTTGAGATATTGTTTGTTTCACCTAATAAACTCAGTGAAGGCAAAGAATCTAGTGGAGCTGCGTGAGCTTCAGAGCACAGAGCTCAACCTGCAGAGCCCTGTTCCCATCATGCTTCACTCCGGGCCCTTTGCCCAGGAAAGCCGGGAGATGTCAGGGCGTCTCGGGCTCACGCTGCTCGGTTCCCAGCTCCCAGGCCAGAGATCTCCCAGCACCCACTCGGAAGAGCATGAAGAGAGCGAGGCCTAAAAACTCAGCTGCCCCGGTCAGGAGACATGGCGGGACAGGAGAGGAGAAAAAGACAGCCTTATACTCCTTCTCCACACTCCCCTCCACGCCTGTCGCTGTAATCTTCTCCCCTTGTGGGGGTTCAGGACCAGAGTCCTGCTCAGAAGTGTTCAGTGCGCTCTTAAACAGCTCCCACAGCTGTGGCTGTCAAGGCAACGCGTCACCCTTACATAGGGGCTTCACCTCCACAATGAACCCTTAACGCCACACATCCCATTTCAACACTCTGCATTCAGCAAGATCTCCCACTGTCTAGAAGATGTGAATGATGTGCCAATATAAACACCAAAGTGGTTTTCAGAAGCAGCCTTCCCTCCTCGTTCTGTTTTTGCCATTTGCACACAAGACCCTTCCCTTGTCTGCACCAAACATCAACCGCCCGGCATTTGTCCAGTCTTCAATTTTATCTCAATCTTTTTAAATTTTATTTGATTATTCGTTTTACTACACGTGTCTATAAAAAGGCGATAGTGGGGAATGATTGTCGTCACATCTCAGGCTCTGGTTTCCATTCCCCTTCGAAACAGGGTGTGTGAGGATGGACTTAGCTCCCTACCCGGATCGAGTCAATTATTAATCTGCGTGTGAGCGAGGTGTCATTCAGACAACAGGACCCTGTGGGAGGAAGGAGCTGACCGGACCGCGCTCTGTCTCTCTCAGACTGCAGGGTGAAGCCAGCAGACTGAAGAGACCTCAGCTGAGCTCGGGGCAGTGCAGGTAGGAACAGGGTGAGATGGTCAGCAGTGCCCCTCTGCTTTCATAAAGCGCCTGACGTGTGGCTCCGCTGGAGCCCAGCGTCCCTCTGGGACTTTCCTGCGATCGGCAGCGGTGAAGAGTCAGAGGCGGAAGGGAGAGGTTTTGTGCTGGGATGGAAAGTCAGCTGCGTATTAATGAACAGGCTGGTGATTCAGAGTGTGTCAAGGGAAGGTGGTGCTCTGTGCTCCAGTGCTATTCTCCTGTCCTCACCGACGGTGCTGTGTGACCTCCAGACATCCTTTTCCTCTGCTGTTGGGAAGTCTTGGCTGGCTGGTCTGCGTGCTGTGGACACTGCCGAATGCACTGTAACGACCAGGACATGCGCAGCTGCTCTGTCTGGGTGTGGTTTGTGTGCTGTAGTTAGTCAGAACAGTAGAGACGTTACAACAAACATGAGGACATTGAGCCCTTCTGGTTGGTAGTAGTTAATTGAACTGAAAATCTCATCCATTCGGTTCTTGAAAGAAGCCAGAAGTACCTCCTGTTCTCAGTTTTAAATG